AACTATCAATGGAACGAAGCAGGGACAGGTGGACAAATCCATTTAGGAGCACTGTATTTATGACCAGAATATTCCCGTGCTACTCAGAAGTAAACGTCTCCTCTGGGCAGCTCCTTAAGCATTTCCACTACATCTCATAATAAGACAAATTTGACTTTAGTTCTTTAATGTTAATAACAGGATAAAATTAATGAGTATAGCCGGATCATAATTACAGCAAAAAACTATGAAGCAAAAGAAAATTTTATACATTTCCCTGAAACTTCTCCAGCTTTCAAATCACTGTCCAAAAAATCAACTTTTTTACTTCTTTAATGAATCAAAAATTATTTATTTTAGGTTATCATTTTGCATTTCTCCTCCAATATAGATTGATATCAAACAAAGAACTGCTGTCTCTGCTTCCAGGTTGAGCTGTCCTTTGCCTCCCCCAGTTCCCTAAGGCACCGCAATGACTTAGGGAGAGAACAGAGGGAGATTAAAAATTTTTCAGCCAGGCTCGGTGGCTCAGCCTGTAATCCCGTGCCTTTGGGAGGCTGAGGTGAGTGGATTGCCTGAGCCCGTGGGTTCGAGACCCGCCTGGGCAGGCAAGACCTCATCTCTACAATAAATCAAAAAATCAGCCGGGCATGGTAGCACATGCCTGTAATTCCGGCTACTCAGAAGGCTGAGGTGGAAGGATCGCCAGAGCCCAGCAGTCGAGGCTGTGGTGGCCGGGAGCGGCCACTGCACTCCAGTCTGGGCGACAGAGTGAGACTCCAACTCAAAAAAAAAAAAAAAAAATTTTCCACAGCGAGAGAAGAGAATGTTTCTACACTGCTGGTGGGAGTGCAAGCTAGCTCAACCTTTATGGAAAGCAATATGGTTATTCCTATCATAAAAGAACTAAAAAATTCACCTTCCATATGTTCCACCAATCCACCTCCTAGGAATATACCTGGAGGAACAGAAATCATCCTACAAAAAAGACATCTGCACATACATATTTACTGATACACTATTTACAATAGCAAAAACATGGAACCGACCCTACTGCCCATCAAAAATGAACTGCATAAAGAAAATATGTATGTGGAACATATCTATCCTGGAGTATTACACAGCCATAAAGAACAAAATTATGGACTTTGCAGCAAATTGGACGGAGTCAGAGACCATCATTCTAGGAGAACTATCACAAAAACAAATAACTGAATACCACATGTGCTCACTCATAAGTAGGCCCTGAACATTAGCACAAGGGATACATCAGTAGTCATTGGGTACTGCTAGGGGACAGAGTGAGAGGGGAGGGTGAGGGGTGTGTGACAACGCAAAGGGTTCCTGCTACGCTACCACGGGGAATGCGGCCCAGTTGGAAGGCCAACCTTCACCTGCGTGCAGCCTACTTATGTAGCTAACCCTCGCTTGTACCCCATACACTATAATAAAATAAAATTTAAAAAGGAAAAAAATTTTAAAATGTCTTCACAGTGATATTAACAAGATTTGTAATAATGAAGTGCTCTATAAGCTTGGAATTGAAGGAATTATTTTATCATTATATGCAAAAGTATTCAATCCTACCACAATCAAGACAAACACAATGCTCCTTTTTTAAATAACATCCCTTAGACTCCATGTTGCTTATTTCTGACTAATTTTCTTCCTGAAGTCAGGATCTGACATCTATTTTAACCTAATTTCATCCATAAAAACATGCTATAAAAAAGGACACAAACAGATATGTTCTTGCTGTCATCACCTACAAGAGTCATGATATGCTGCTCTGACTACGTATGGAGATTAAATTGGTATAGATTTTTTTTTTTTTTTTTTGAGTCAAAGTCTCAATCTGTCACCCAGGCTAGAGTGCAGTGGCACACTCACAGCCACTGCAGCCTTGACCTGCTGGGTTCAGATGATCCTTCTGCCTCAGTCTTCCAACTAGCTGAACTATAGGCATGCACCACCACGCCTAGCTAATTTTTTGATTTATTGTAGAGATGAGGTCTCACCGAGTTGCCAGGGCTGGTCTTGAACCCGTGAGCTCAGGCAATCCTCTCATCTCAGCCTCCCAAAATGCTGGGCTTACAGGTGTGAACCACCACACCCGGTTGGTACAGAAATCATCAAAATGAAATCTAGAATTGTATTTGGAAAGGAGCAGCATGCTTCAACATGTATGCAACAGGAGCCTGAGTCTAGAACATTAGTATAATATCTTTGAAATGTCCCCTAGTTTTCTCTGCAATAATAACCAGTCAGCAAAAGGATTTTTTTTTTCCTTATGTCCTGCCATCAACCTGTTTCCATGAACACCTGGGCAAAGACGTGGAAAAGAGCCTGAAAACCAATGCCATCTAATTTTGCATCATATGCTAACTGAAATTTTTCAAGAGTCTTTTTTTTTTGCAATAAATATATTCAGAACGGTTCCATGAATTAAAATGCTTATGTGAAATATGAGCTATAAATAAAACACTCTAAAATCTTTATTTTGCCATACATGTACCACAAACATCTTTTACAGGGAGATCTTCATGTCTACTCCTGTCTTGACTACCTATGCCATGAAGGGTTTTCTTTTATCTAGTCTGGTCCCTCTTCCTTCAAAGTCTGGGCTCTACTGTCATCCACAAGCCCAGGGTCCCTCAAACTTTTCCATCATCTTGGGCTAAATACAGCTTCTTCAGTCTAAATAATAAGGATATTAGCAACAAATTCATTGATCTCAATACGCATCAAGTATTTTATGTGCATTTGCTTACTTAATCTTTACAACATCCCGCTAAAGTAGGAGTTACTATTTAAGCTCCACTGTACAGAGGAGGAAAACCAATGTGCAAAGAAATTACATCACCTGCACAGGTCATACAACTAGTAAGTAGCAGAGTAGAGCCCAACACTCATGTCGGTCTAGTTGTTGTTTATTCCCTTAACCACAAAGCTCTTCAGTGACTGTAGATAGAGCTAAAAGAGCACAAAGAATCACTTGTTCTAAGGATTACAATGAACAAATCAGAGACTAATGACACAAAAGGGATCTTAAAACCCCTAACTCCATATGTGTATATCATGGCATCCACACACCAATTTTTTGGCTTCTATGACCAACTTCCCTGGTTCCCCACTTAACTAACATTCTGACTCCTCTGCCGACTTTCCTTCCTCTGCCCACAGCTAAACATCAGTGTTCTATAGGAATCCACCTTCAGCCTCCAGTCTGGTTAGCCTATTCCATGGCTTCAAAGCCCTTTTAACAACATGCCCAAATTGATGAACACAGCACCCTCATCACAGCTCTTCTCATTATGCTCTGAGTGAACATAATGATAGACCCTCATTCCTTCAACTATCCTCCATACGCCTGTAATTTATATGCAACCCAAGATTTTGGGTAAGTCAGAGTCAGAAATCCCAATGTCCTACGTGATGGGTCATAGACCCTCTGTACTCATCTGCACTCAAAGTTTAACTGTATCTTTCATACACCATCTCCTGTACTCCTCAGCACCATCCTGAGTCAGGAATAAGATGGCCCTGGATTTGATATTCTCCTACAGTCCACATCTAGTTCATCTGCAAACTCATCAATTTTATCTAAATGTCTCTTGCTCAGGTAGTCCTCCCTATTCTGACACACTCTCTGGGTTAAGGTTTGTATATTTTGTTACATGAATTACTGTAATTGGTTTCCCTGATTCTGATACTCCCCATCTCTAAGATAATAAGCTCATGGAGCCTAACAGTAGTTTTTTTTAAAGAGATCTGACTATTCCACTCCCTTTTCCACATGCCTTCCTAACCTGGCTCAGAGGAAAATCCAGACCAAGGGCATGGCACTGAAGACCCTTCAAAAGCTGACCAAACTACTCTCTTGTCTAGTTCTACCTTTTTTTCCATTTCCCCCTCGTCACTCTGGAATAACTATTATTCCCAGGATATACTGTCATCCCTCTGGTTTTGACACTAATCCTGCTATTTGAAATTAATTCCTTTAAGCCAACTTCTTTTAAAATCTCCTTTACCTTATATATAAACCCTATGAATACCATCAGCCCCTTCTTCCTAACTTACTAAAAGCAACAATTTTAGCTTAGAGGATGTCGCCAGGCTTTGTATTTCACTCTTCACCATTATCCGGGTTTGCCTAGGGACAGAGGTTAAGACCTAGCACCCAGAAAAGATCCAGAGGGTCTTTTCCCCGGGTTATACAGCTAGTTAAGTGATTTGTAATTTTCTAAATGTTCCCTATATCTTTTAATTACAATAAATACTTATTAAATAATAGTTACCTAAGTATCCATGTTAATATTAAGAGAAACATCCACAAAAGATTTAAAAATATATAACAAATCATCCAGACAATGCCTTCTCTCATGGCAATCTCTTATGAATTCATCTTATATTCATTGATTAATTTGCTAGGCAAAGCAGCAGCGACCAAATCAAGCAGCAGCAATATGTTAATGGTTTCGCAATATTTGTACCCTTTTCCCAGTGAATTCAGACTATTTTAATTTTGTCCCAGTGCCAAATAAATTAATATAAAAGAGGTATTATATTACAAACTATGAGGAAAAGTGATCAATTTTATTTTCTAGGTCAATAAATGATAGGTCATAGAAAAGTTCTGAAATTTTGCAAAAGTTGGAAACCCTAAATCTGAAATTGAATTTGAAATTAAACATCCTAGAAAGACAATCAATCAAACTAATGCACATTTAATGAAGTTTTAAGTAGCTTAATGTAATGCATTCACTCTACCAGCAGGGTTTATTTTGTTCAATGCTTCTTGATGTTTTAATTATACAAAAACTATCTGCTCTTGTATTGATAGGTAATGGAAACAGAAACTTCTAAGGATGCCAACAAATGGTTTGCTTCAGTGGACAGACAGCTGTCAGTGGGCCACCTTGGATTATGCTAATGGCCTAAACACATATATTCTTAATTTTTTAAAAATTACATCAAGGCAAAAGAGTGCAAGTCTCAGCAAGCTGGGCTTGGGTACTGACCTTCGTTGCTCTTCACCATGTTCTCCTGAAGGGACAGTGAGACATTCGTCCATATGTCCATGCAGTAACCTGAGGACATCACCACCAATCAGATACCCTGTAAGGATGAAAAACCATTGAAGTTTGGACTGTCATGGCCGGATGCTGACAGTGGACAAATCATCTAGTCCAACTTTCTACTTTCCTTTTGTGTTTTTGTTTTTGAGTTCAAGTCTCACTCCGTCACCCAGGCTGGAATATAGTGGCACATACATGATCACCCCAGCGACGACCTGCTGGGATCCAGCAATCCTTCCTCCTCAGCCGTAACTAGAGGTGCACACTACCACCCTGGCTAATTTTTTGATTTATTGTAGAGATAAGGTCTCACCAAGTTCCCCAGGCTGGTCTGGAACCTGTGGGCTCAGGCAATTCTCTCACCTCGGCCTCCCAAAGTGCTGGGATTACAGGCTTGAGGCACTGCACCCGGCCCAACTCTCTACTTTCATAGGCAGAGAAACTGAAGTCTAGTGAGGCTTAAGTACCTGGCCAAGGACACAGCCTCCCAAGTCCCACAATTAGGAATATTCCCACTCGAATACATGACTTCAACCACATAAAATCCTCCATTAAACATACAAATGCGTAGGATCAGATATGAACCTATAATAGTGAAAATAACCAGAATATACACAAATATTTCTCCTGAAAAAATAAAAACACCCTGTTGCATAAATATCATAGTGATCCAGCTATAAGGCATGACCCCCCAAAATAAGAGATCCTGACATCAGCCTAACTGAAAAATACCCTGAGGCCAAAAAGAGGGAGAAAAAAAAAAAAAACAACCCAGCAAGCTAGCACAGAAAACACACACAAATAAGCTAAAATTGCCAACAGCATAAAAATAAGGAAAGATAAATCTTAACACAAGCTTCACTTTTAAATAGCAAATTACACAAGATCCTTAAATGTCAGGTATCTGCATTTCTGAATATTTTGACATAGAAAAAGTTCTAATTAACAATCAGCTCATTATCACAATTGCAAAGATGACTGTCAACTCTGTGTCAAGGACCAGCCCTCTAATTGAAGTGGAGTTTTTACCTTGGGCTGCTTCACTTCCTGAGCTGATTGGGGCCACGCTCCAGAGAGTCTGCTGGAAAGCAGCATCCACGTGTAAGCTGCCATTGCCATAAGACAAGTGCTGTATCGGGAGGCAAAAAAGGCATGGCTTCAGGCTCTGGAAGTCTTGACATGTAAGCGCTTCTAGCAACTTTTCAAACTTAACATTGCAGATTTGGAAATGTCCATAGAGAACATCAATTTCAACCCTGCCATTCAAAAATCAAAAAACTAGTAAGAAAAATATATATGAAAGTTCCTATTTGACTTTAGGTATTTTTATGCTTTATTCTAAGAGTTACTAATAAAAGTCAATAATCAGAAAATGCATAAATACACATACCAAATCAATTTACTTGAAAAAAGAGATTATTTTTGTTTTAAGGATTATTGAAGGATGAAATGATATAGAGATGGGCACTTATAACTAAAATTATAATTAAGTTTTCTACATATCACAGTTTGACAGTCTTTTTGATAACAAAGAAGATGAAATCGACTGGACCAGTTTTATGGAGTCTATTTTTATAGAGTCCCTTAGGCATTTTATGGAGTCCTCCAGGTACTGTTATCTGCAATTTGATATAACAGCCATTAGATGGCGACATTCCCCAAAACCAGGTAAATTTCTTCCAAAATCCAGATATTAACACATTTCAGATGTCCTTCTTAAAAACAGAAGCATATTAAAATATCGGAGGAAAAATAATCATTACTTAGCTGCTTCTAGAATTCCAAACATACACAGAGCAATCACCTGTTATCTTGGAGTCTTCTCAATAAATATCCTCAATATCCATCCCAGTGATGTTTTGGCAACATTTTGCCAAGGATGATGACAAAGTTTTTTTAAGACTTTAATTACACCAGAAGTTTCCCAGAAGTCTGACCACCCTAGTTAGATGAACATCAGTCATAGCACAGAGTAGTCACCTTAGGTGTACTCCACAGGCCTTTTAACATCCTAAGGGTCTCTTTTACCTAGGTACACTATTCTCAAGTCACTAGTAAGAATAGGTCTTCAGATCTCTTTCTCTTAAAAATAAAACCAAAGAAACCTTTTAACACTGTGACATATACATAGCTATCAGTAAATTTTTTCAATCAAGAAGATTGAAAGTTCACCAGTTGACACAGAAAATTTACCAACAATTTGCTCTTACCCCTCGCCTCAATTTCAACTGGCTGCCTGTTTTTGTACAACTTCTTCTTTACCACAAACTAATGTTCTTACATATAATCGAGATAAGATTCCTTTACTGACTCAGTATGTTCCCCACTTTGTTAAAACTCTATGTGTACAAAGAAATCGGATCCCCTCTGCTTTGACAAGAAAAAGCAAAATATATTTTCCTTCACAGCAATTATCACACCTATAATTGTTAGGTTTATTAGGTTGGTGTGTTTGCGTGTGTGTTTATTTATTTGTTTATCTGTTTGTTTTGGAGTCAGGGCCTCATTCTGGAGTGCAGTGGCATGATCATGACAACCACGGCTCACAAAAGCCTCAACCTTTTGGGCTCAGGTAATACTTTCACTTCAACATCCTGAATAGTTGGGACTATAGGTCCCAGCACCATGCCCTGCTAATTTTTTTTTTTTTTTTTTTTGTAGAGATGAGGTCTCACTATGTTACCCAGACTGTTCTCAAACTCCTGGGCTCAAGCAATCCTCCTGCCTCAAGCTTCTCAAAATGCTGGGATCACAGGTGTGAGCCACTAGACCCAGACTAGGTTTATTTTTCTTTCTCTTTCTTGTAACCTATCTGACACAGGTTCACAACTGTATTCTTAGTATTAAGCAGTGTTATTCACCAAGCCTTTAAAATCAAAGTAACATAAACTTTAAAAAACATGTTTTCAGCTATTTTGTAAATAATCCTATTTCAATGACATGTGAAAAAAGTATGTAAGAATATAAATGTACATATAGATATATAGATATATAAATGGTGTGTATTTTAGCCAAACTTTCTGAAAACATTAAAAATGCCAATGCTTTTATATTTTATTTTGAAATCAAGTGAACACTCAGGTAATATTATGATAAAAAGGTTACCATCATTTGTAAATTCACCACAGGTTCATCAAACATGCTATGTATAAAAGTATTATGCTAATTATTAACAGGACATATCTCCATTTAGAGGGTGTTTGTAATCTTGTGAAGAAAGAAAAATGTATGCACAAAATGTTGTATATAAAGAATATTGTGTGCAATGTTTGGGGTGATGGGTATCCCAATCACCCTAATTTGATCATTATACATTCTATGTAGGTAACAAAATATCACATGCACCCCGTAAATATGTACAACCTTAATGTACTAACAAAATAAATAAACAAATAAATAAGTGGACAAGGAAGTAAAAAAGCTTAAAAATATCACGTGTGAATTGCAATCAAAGTGCTACAGGAATTGCAAAAACAGAACATTCTTGTCAACAAAATTAGAACAGATCGTTGGACCATGTCTCGAAGGATGGGGGGCATTTCCACAGGAGAGAAGGGATTTCTCATGATGCGGGCTTTGAGCGAGACAGTAGAATCAATTGGCCTGGGCGTCACATTTATATATTTGGAGACGTGCATACATTGAATCGATTTGGGTATGTGTATGAATGATGTTAATGTGTCCAGTGTAAACATTTACAATACACCATAATTTCTGTAAATCAATTTGGAGATTTTTATTTCTACTATACCAAAAATCTCGCCATCCCCGGGCCCTCTAAGAAGAAGATAAGGGGAATGCATGATGAAGAGTGGAATGAAAAGGTAGAGATATGGGGGCACAAAGCACTGCCGAGAGGTTCATCTTCAGGCTGACAGCACACACTTAGAGACAGAGACAGTGGTAGGTCTGCAGAAAAAGGCTGGCACCAGACCAAGGACCTTATGTTTTAGGCAGTGCAGTTACAAAATAACGAGAGTGTGGGGGAGTTGAAAAGGTAATTTTCAAATCATATAAACATAAAGATAAATAATAAATGAGAACCGCAACATATGAAAGCTTCAGCCTGTGAAATAAAGTCCTAACTATGTCCTTAAGATCATATTACAGTCATATAAAGTTATCTAAATATGGTCCACATTTCTAAAGAATCTATTCTACTTTGAATATTTCTATTGAATTGTGCTGCTTAAACAGCAAAGGGAAATCTGAGTAATAACAACATCAAGTGAGCCCTGTGCTATTAAACATTCAGAATGCAACAACAGTTTCAATTACTGAAACTAAGATGAGTTGTCCTTAAAGCAAAAATAGATGTTGGCAGAGGTTGAAAGCAAAGTCGGCCTTAGGCTGAAATATGTAACCACTATATAATTTGCACAATAACATGGTAATATCAATCCACCAGCAGCAATACAGGGCCTTTGGGCACCAATCTGCTCCCCAGTCTCACCTTGATGCTAATGTTGGTGATTTTCAAGCTCTGTTATGTACACAAATCATCTGAGGATCTTGTCAAAAAATGCAGATTCGAATTCAGGAGGAGTGTGTGTGAGTAAAAGTGGAGGTTAACCAAGACTGTTGGTCCAAAGACTGTGGTTGGCGTAACAAGACAATACCAAAGACGCACAAAATCTCAAAAATAGAAGGAACATTATAAATCACCTCCCAGGTGATTTATAATAAATCAACCCCAGGAGTTCTGAACCTGGAGTCCACAGAACTGTACTTCAATATTTTTAGTTTCCTTTGTAATGCTATATAGTTATTTTATGCATTTGAAAACATGATTATGATGAGGTCTATAAGCTCTATCAGCCTTCAATAGGGGTTCATGGCACAAAACTTTTAAGAATATCGAAATTCAGCCCTTATCTGATGTACTTGTTCGCCCATTTACTTTTCTCTTACTAAATTGTCAAGCACTTGGGTCCAAGTGATCCAAAATTCTGAATAAATTATCATCTAGGGACAAGAAACACACGTTAGCAAGTCATATTACCCGTCAGGCTTCAGTTTTCTCTTCTGATAAATAAATAAATAGCATAGAAATAGATGCTCTTTCCAAACCTAGTCTTCCATGACTCTATCATAAAGCTTTCCTTTCTGAGCCACAGAAAGGAAAAGAAGGCTCAAGGTAAATTAACAAAAAGTGAATTGGTTGATACAATAAATAATTCAAAAACATCTATGATCCCTTTTTTAAAGTGATCATTATTTTTCTGCAACTTGAGGCCATTCGGCAGTGTATTATGCAATCCAGACACCTTTGTATTTCTTAATAGAAATGTAGAGGTGGTTAAGGAGAAAAGTACATTTTCTGAACCCTAGAATAGCTTTCTTTTAAGCATTTTCACCAGCTTTCAGATTGAAAGGTTCTGCTTTTCCTAATTTATTTCCAGTAAGTTGTTTGTTTGGCGATGTCTCCATAGTTCTTACATAACGTCATCCGTTTCTTGAGGTGACCCCATCAATAGAAAATCAGTTGGAAATCAGCATTTTCAATGCAAACAATCCAAGCCATGGAATAAAAGCATTTGTGCAAAATAAAGTGATTTTATATCTAAAACACACAGAAAAATTCTTTTGCATGCTTTATTTTGTTTAGCTTGACGTGGATTCGCAGTCAGTGATACCTACTTGACCATGTAAGTCTTCTCTATTTTAAATTGTGTATTTCTCTTATTCTTAAGCTGCTTTGCTAAAGCTTTCTTTAAAAGAAAACAAAACTTGCAATATGGGCAAAAGAATTTCTTTCCTTTTGGATATACCTGAAAAGAGGATTAAGACAGCCTCTCACATTAGAATATAAACAGCAAAAATGAGAAAAAGCATTATTTGGGTGAGGAGTTTACAACCATCTTTAGAGATATGAATCTTTAGTCCTTAGAAATTGCCCCAATTTTCAACCTATAAAACAGACAGAGGGTAGAGCCTGGGCCTCTAGGTACTAACCAAGGCATCCTCCTCAGAGGACAGGGTGAAAAGTCAGCCCTTTAAATCAGTTTTAATCAATTTAGCATTCCACTGGTTATAAGCCTTATTCGTGTACCCAATGTCCAATGAGATAGTTTAACTAACTGAAAGGACATAAGATGAAGTCAATATACCCAATGAGAACCCATTTTAACATTGCTTTATTTTGTCATGTTTTTCTAGCAGTTCACTTTAATTTACCCTCTAACCACTAGCCAAGGACAGAACCAGTTTCTCAGATAATAAACCAGCTTCTGAATTATCTTACAAGACTCTCCCCAGCCTGTTTTGCAAACAAGTTAACCTAATCAGCCTGTCCTGACCTTTGTGACACAGACCCCCATCAACATGGCATCTACCCATCTGCCTGCTGTCCATCACCTGATGTCAGTACCTGTGCTTACCTGTCCCCTTTGTGAGGATGTGGAACAGATTACCACCCAATCACCTTAACTACCTGCCCCCTCCAAAGGGAAGGTTTAAAAGCACTCAACTTCAAGCAGTCATTTGCCATGGCTTTGTTAAACTCTGATGTGTCCTGGAGGCTCTTTGAGCTATGGTCACCAAGTTTCCTAGCTTTGGCCTCTTACCCTACCTTGGGGAGGTGAATTTTCTCTCTCTCTCTCTCTCTCTCATTTACTTTCTAAATAAACTATATTTTACAATCTAACTTCTGTACAATTCTTTGCATCTTATATGTGGCATCAGATCACAAACTAGACACCCTTCCCTCTGGTCTGACCTAACATTTTTAAGGCCCCGCTGGGATTTTTGACCTAGCACTAACATTAGCTTAACCATCACTGTTAGCGAAAGAATAATAGCTCCATGGTCCATAAACGCCATGACCAAAGAGCTGTAAAATCAGTGAGTGGAAATGTTTATTTTTAGTAGTTAGTTTTTAATAATTTTAAAAACGTATTTATTTTTAGTCACATCAGCATTTTCTCAGAATATGAAACTTGCTTTCATGTGAGAGATCTTTATTTAAGAGCACCTATAATGTGCCACTCAGTCTTTCTTTCCAATTTTCTGTTCTGGTTAAATGCCTGCAGTTCCTTTAACCATTCTTAATAGACACAGTTCTCCAAGGTAAATAACAACAGCAAATGACTGAGCAATTTTATGTGCCTTTCACAGAGCTAAGATCCCTTGTTGGATTTAAGCATTTAACCCTCCTCACACCTCTCTGATTTAAGCTCATTATCCCACGTATTAGAGATGAAGAACTGATACATTCAAAAGGTCATGTGTCTAGTCCAGACTCAAATTGGTCAGGCTCTGTACTAATAAATGAATCTGAATAAATATCAGCCCATCTTTAGTTATTCAGGACTTCATATGCCGATTTTTCCAGCTGCCTCTGTCTATTCCAAATTCCTTTTACTCCTTGAGCTTCCTTTTTCTCTAGATTCTTTTCAGAGTCCAACATATAATCTACACCCTAGTCTCCATACACCCAGTACTAATCAACCACAGTGGGAATGTGAGATAATAATTAACCATCCCTATACCCTAGGAATGTTCTTCAGCCTATCTAACCTACCCTGTGACACGTATTTAACGTCTTGTATACTCAGACAGCTTCATATGTGTTTGGTTTGTTTTCTCCACTAATTCTTCAGGGGCAGAAACCATGTGTTAACATATCCCTGATCTTCCCTATTGTTTCTACTATACACTGGGTCCACAGAAATGAAAAACAAAAGCATTGACTTCATTACCAAATCAAAGTGAAATTTTAACAACCTGGTTGACTGCTCTTTTGTAGCTCTATATAAAAGGTTCGTGGGGAGGGGGGGGAAGCGCTTAAACAATTGGCTAAAACATAGTTTGGAAATTATTTGTGCATTTTAATTAACTGTGAGGTTTTTCGATTCTTCCACAGGAAGTAAGTTTCATGCATCATCATTATTATTGCTTTCATTTGTATAGCACTTTTAAATTCAAAACATATTTAAATCCATCATTTTATTGTTTCCTCACAGTAACCTCAGCACTACATATTATTATTAGCATCAATCCCATTATTACAAAGGAAGCCAGAATTCAGAGAATTAATCAATTTGCTCAGGTAGTTAGTTGTAGAATTGATATTAGAAGTCCTCGCCCTGGTGAGGTTTCTAATTTTCTACTCCTTCAGTGCATAATAATGCCCATCCTGTCAAATAAACTCTGATACACAGTGAAAAGTACAAGTTGTACATCAGTAACAACTGCATAGTTATGTCAAAATCAAGATAAGATGTGTGTAGAATTTATATACTGAAAAGTGTGCATGAATAACTTCCACGGCTCTTGGTTTCCAGGTACAACGACAACTCAGAATGCACAACTCCTGATCCAAATATTTTACTTACACATGCAAAGCACAAGCACATAGCAAGGGCTTAATAAATGCTGATTTTAAAAGCTGCCCACCTGTATTGTCCTAGAAATCTGCATGGTAGCTGTTTCCAACTACACTGGATAAGGGACAAAAGTAGAGAAATGCTCCAGGGCTCCCCATAGCTATGCAATATTAGACACCCCATTTAATGTAACAGTTCACGACAGTTACATTAGGCACCATTACACCATTTCCCTGTCTTCATCAGTACCTCTTTCCACAAAGCAAGTGAAACAAACCATTCTTCCTAGAAATGCTTCAAATCTAGAACTAAATGTACTGGTAAACCAAAACGGACTTACAGTGTCACCAAATCCACCCTATTTCTTTTTTACAGAACAAAGGGGGGTACCAACCACTTAATTCAAAGCCAGCTACACACAAATAACATTTCGGTTTATAGCAGTGGGAAAACACTTTCCAGTATGGGTTAAACTGCCACATGCTCTATTTCTGATTTGTGTTTTACTCATCATCCACTATGATGTCTCAGATTGTTTACGTAGATATTCAGATCAAGTTGATAAGGCCCCATTTTATATTTAATTACTTTTTCAACTTCAAAATATAAATAAGATTTTGCCCTGTCACCCTTCATGCTTTCATTGATTTCAACCTTCTGCCCACTTCTGTACAGACTTATTCTCTAGCAAAACTACAACTTACTAAATAAGTTAAATTAAATATATATTAGCCTCATTACAAGTAAAAATTACATTCAGTGATTAAACAGAAACTTCCTTCTTTATGCTCCCATTTCCAGCCCCTACCCTTTGAAACAATGCAATGTCAATGACAGACCTAAATGTTTTTGGTCTGTTTCTCCCTCCTTAACATGGCAGGTGTTTCTCATATAATAATTTGCTTTCATAAATAGCAAAATAGGTAATCACAACCTCATTAATATCACCACTTCATCAGGCACAAAATAAAGGCCATGGAATTATGAATTTCTGATTAGACTGTATTTATATTTTATTAATAAAATAATTCAAGAAAAGGCATTATCAATATCGTGAACATGCATGTCAAGGTCATGAAGGAAGCCTGCCTAGACAAACTTGGTCAGCCACATTTCCACTCGTGGAACGTTATTCTTCTACAATATTTAGAAAGCTGTTTCCAGTAGAGACACAGGCTTGTTTATAAGCAATTTTTCTAGATAATTTTCAGTACAAATCTTAAAGAGAGTATTGCATTGACCTGTCACTTATCATATCACCAAACACATGACCCTACTTTCCACACTTACCAAGTACCTTTCAGAGGACACGCTAACTAGGATGAGGTCATCTCCCACTCGGACTTTTTCTCCTTCTGATCGCTGCTTAGAGGCAGGATGAATGGTCCACCAACAAGCCTCACCTGCAGAGAGATTGAAAGTGAAACACAAAGAGGCACCTCTTAATTAATATATACTATCTTTGCCAATGACTCCAATCACACAACTTTCAGAAATCTGAAATGTAATGTAAATTAATCTCTTGGACCATTAAAAAAAAAACACCTTAAGTCAATTTAGCTCAGAATAAGACATAATGTGACGTACATTTTCTTCTCATAGAAAATGGGTATGCGTTTTGGGAGGCTGATGTCTTTTTCCCCCACTAAGAATTGCTTTAAAAGGACATTTATTTATCCTCATAAGACTAAACTTACCACTTAGGCTGATGTGATTTCATTATTTATACAATCACGTTATTACACTATTCACATTGCTCGATATAAAAATGTCCAGTTTTTTCCCACCTCATTTTCATAAGCACTTTGGATTTTGTGATATGATAACTGCATTATAACAATGAAGTACAAAACCTTTGAGTACTTATCAGAATGCTGATTCAAATAGGATGCAAGTGTTGTCATCTCACGTTTTACTATCCTGTCTCATTTAAGCCTTGTTTTACTTTGTTATTTTAAAATGTGGTGGTTTCTATTAAACTAAGAGTAAGATAGAAGAGAATCCTACTATAGAAGGATCAATTTTAAGAGATCTGAGTATACAATAAATCAAATTATTCTTCTAGGACAAGTCAAGCATAAGCCTCATGAATCACGTGTCTACTGTTCATTCTTAAGTCTTATTATCTAAGATCTAAGCATAGGCATACAATTCTTCGATATTCTTAAAAGTTGAATGTAACTTCTATCCAAATATGAGAATGCTTTAGTGATACCTGTCATCTAGCATTCATCATTCTCTCCGTTTACCCACCTTTATGATTTTTCCTAGTACTTTTTTTTTTCCTCAACTAATTCCCCAGTGCCAGAAAGTAAGCTCCATAACAGTGGGGACTTTGTATGTTTTGTTCACTGGGGTTTCCCCAGATCCTACCAGCATATTGTAGGCACTCAATAAAAACACATTTTGCGGCCAGGTGCAGAGGCTCATGCCTGTAATCCAAGCCCCTTGGGAAGCCAACATGGGAGGACTGCTTGAGCCCAGGAGTTCAAGACCAGCCTGGGCAACACAGTGAGACCTTGTCTCTACCAAAAAAGAAAAAAATTGTGTGAATGAGTAATGAACTGATGATTCAATAATATTTCTTTAACATGCTTATAATCAATATGTAGTCTGTGCCTTGAGCTGCTTTTTTCTTGCATAAACCAGAATTTTACTGAATGTCATCTAGCAGGATTCTTTATCTTCATTCACCCAAATCATTTGTAGGTAGTTTTTCATTTACTCACTCAAACATTTATAGTGCACCCACTAGTGGTCAATCATTGCTTTAGTGGCTGGTGATACATCAATAAGCAAGAAAGAAAAAAATTATATGCCTTATGAGTTTAATTCTGATGAAGGCAGGCAGACAACAAACAATAAATATAATAAATGAGTACCTCAGAAATAGTAGTGAGCTATGGGGTTAAAAAAAAAAAAAAAAAGACCCAGAAGCATAAGGGACTCGGGATTTAGGGAGGATGACCTGTTTAACTATTTTGACCATTATATACTCATCCCAATGTAAAAAAAACAAGTTCTAGATCATGTCTGTCTTCTACATCTTTTAAATGAAGAGCTGAATACTTTCTTTTTAATTAATTTCATGCTGACATACATTAATTAAAATAAGAAAACTGAAAAACTAGGAAAAATGCAGAGAAATGATTGAGTCTCTATAAAATGAAATCAAAATCAGAATAACGCATTTATCTTTTTTGATGCCTAAGATTTTCTGGAATTCTTGATATGCTGGTCTATTCAAAAGTTCATTAGATTGGTAGGGATAGTTTTATTTGTATCCATTTGTTGTTTGTGAAAAATTTAGAGGCTATGGTAAAGTATTTTAAACAGGGGGAGAGTAGGTAGGGGACTCTCAAGGGTGAGCTTGAGCTCACCCTTGAAAGGATCAACTCAATAAAAGTTGAATTATTTACTTTCATTCTTTTTTTATGTGGCCTTTTATTTTTAATTCCAAAGTCACGCATGCTCATTGTGAAAGATAAAACAGTCAAACTGTACTGAGGAATATAAAGTAAGTGTAAAGTCCACAGAGCATTGAGAACAAAAACGTAAATAAATCCTGTGTCCTCCTATTTTCACTCTCCAAAAGGAAAAATGTGTTAACATGTACATTTTTTATTTCAAAAAACATAGAAATGCATGTCTTTTTGGACAAATATATAGCACAATGCCCAAGGGGCCGAGAAATGAAGAGACTTTTATTTTTTACCTTATTTATCTGAATATTGATATTGAGTACATTACCTTTTTAAACTTAAAATATGTTTAAGATGAAAGATAAAAAATATGCATAGTGTTGCTTCATAAACTAATCAATAGACATTAATATGGTTAACACCCAGTATGGTAAACACTCAGATTACTCCATAATCACGTGGGGTGACGACTGTTTTTGCAGTCACATCCACAGAAAGAATAATGTTTGAAGATCCAACTAATTATGTGGAAACAACCAACAGGAATAATATATATATACACTTCCTCCTTCTACTAAGAACACTCACTAGAAGGTCATTCATTTTTTTCTTCCGGACTTCGTTCATAAAAACATCCATCTTATGCATCATGTTTCCTGATTTCTTCCCATCCATTCCAGTGCCTGCAAGGCTTCCTCTGAACACAAGTTCATTACAGTGCAAGGTACTCACCTGTGGTGTCCTCTTGCAAGCCGACATCAAAAGCCAGCTTATCAGTTGAAGACCGGGAGGTGGACAGGCAGCACAGATACTAAAAAAAAAAAAATACAGAATCAGTATTTGTCACTAAGCTCATAGTCACATCAGAATCTTATTCTGACATGTAATTTGGTATCCATCTATCTTTGCTGTATCCATCTTTTCCTGAAAACGTAAATGCTTCTGCACCAAGCACAGACTGAAATATCTGTGAAGCAGAACAGCACTTATACGGCATGCATTAGGGGCAGTGTTCAAAGAAACGTGGTCTTTTTTCCCTCATAAAAGACTAAGGAAATATGCTCTGTCTGTACAAGAAGACAATAACTGGGGATATGTTTGTACATCGCTCATTTCATGTGATATTCATGATCATCAGGAAAAGTACAATGTCATCTGACAGGTAGAAATCTTTCTCCCAAAGAGAAATTTGCAAAAATGCACTTTTGTCTTCTAGTTTTATTTTCATGTAAAATTTTTTAACTTTTTTTTTTTTTGAGTTGGAGTCTCACTCGGTCGCCCAGACTGGAGTGCAGTGGCCGCTCCCGGCCACCGCAGCCTCGACCTGCTGGGCTCCGGCGATCCTTCCGCCCCAGCCTTCCGAGTAGCCGGAATTACAGGCGCGTGCTACCACGCCCGGCTGATTTTTTGATTTATTGTAGAGATGAGGTCTTGCCTGCCCTGGCGGGTCTCAAACCCGCGGGCTCAGGCAATCCACTCACCTCAGCCTCCCAAAGATGCGGGATTACAGGCTGAGCCACCGAGCCCGGCTTAAATTTTTTAACTTTTTGAAATCCACC